CTTGTTTGACAGGTGTCGATTGACCATAACATGGATGTCCAATAATCAAAGAAGGACGCTATAAACCTAGGGCGCATGTCTCTGTCATCCTATCAGCTGGAGTATGGCCCCTATCTTGGGCGACTCCGTCGTCGTCGTGCGTACGCGCCCACGAGCAGTACCGCTAGCCATGATAACCATGAAAAAATCAATTCATGGGTTTCATTTCTTTCCTATATGGGTATGGGGCTCTGCTTGGCGGCTCTTCAGGCCGGGAGAGCTCCGCTAAAAATATCGAAGGTGAGCCAACGGAGGCAAACGATCTCAGTCATATTTTGTAGAAATGGGTCTGTTGCGTAAATAATTCCAAATGCTGCCAACGTTTTCACAAAACTTAACCATTCAAGAGGCATTTGAAACCGCCGCGCAGATAAACGAAGAGCTGAAAAAGAACGGAATTCGATGATGCATTTTGCAAACAATTCACTGAACTTCTAACCGATAGACTTTCTTCATTTTTTCGCTTAACGTAGGAAATCGGTAGAGAAAATGATCCATCAAAAGAAAAATAGGGGTCACCGAACGTCCAAGATCGTTAAATATAGGCAAAGCTATAGCCATGGCCCGCTGCCCTATCATTGCTCATTTTATTACTTAGCGCGCGCTCGATGAATGAGGTGGCATGTGAATTTGCGTACGCAGTAAGGATGCGCACAAAAAAATACTCGAACGTCCTTAATTAATTGATAACGAAAGGCAGACACCCAAATTATCCCAGTAGTGCACTCTGCACTAAACAGAGTGGCGATAAGTAAGTTCAGTAACCTCATTCATTTATAAGAGCCTTGCTACCATTGGCAAATGTTATCCCTCACTGCAAGTTTTTTTCACAGTGTTGTTGTCTTACCTTTCGATAGTTCTCTTGCTCTCATCAACAGAAACCGTTCCCAGTCCTTCTCGGCTTGTTTACCGAACTCGTTTCTCTCATCCGGGACTTCGGATAAACAATGCAGGACTGCTTTTGTTAAGTTGCAAGGCTTTTGGCTCAGCCACTGAGCCGCAAAG